AAAGGACTTGATATGTACTCCTCCAAAGAACAACTGTTGTGTTATTATGCTTTGGTCACATTATTATTATTATTATTATTATTATTATTATTATTATTATTACCTCGCCCTTCTTCCAGGACTGGGACTCAGGGCAGCTTACAACATTAAAAAAACACCATGGTTAAAAACATACAAAAATAGTATATTAAAATAGGATTAAATTCTCCACCGCAAAAATGGAAAATCGCCAATATTCAAGCCCCACTGGCTTGAATGACAGCGTGTGCTGGCGAGTGCGTGCCCTATTTTGTCTCCCTCCGTTCGCCACCCGTAAATGGGCGAGGGATGCAGACTCCAAGTTCACGAAAATGGAAGGGCGACCGTACTACAATAATTAAAACAAATACAATGCTAAAATATCAAATACTTTAAATTTGATGGTATTTTAATTTTGTATGATGTTTTTAAATTGTTGTGAGCTGCCTCAACTGCGTGACAAAGGGGTGGGATATAAATAAAACTATTATTATTATTATTATTATTATTATTATTATTATTATTATTATTATTATTATTATTAATTATTTAAAAATGCTTAAAATACATTAAAATAATATAGCACCCCAGGCCATTCTTTAAAAGCATTCTGTATTGAATGCATGTCAGAAGGGGAAGGTTTTTGCCTGTCTGCGGAAGGCCATCAAAGAAGGGTCCATTCTGGTCTCCCTGGGAAGACCCTCATTAGAAAAGACCCTAGTGCTAGGAAAGATGGTGGGAAGGAGAGATTTGCCATGAGTTGGAGATCAACTGGATAAAGGGTGGTTGCAGACTGCCAGAAATATTGCAAATTGAGTCCACTTTAAGGGTTAGGGTTAGAGTTAGGGAATCATGGGAACTGTATTTTATTGTGGCACCAGAGCTCTCTGACAGAGAAGGCTCAATGTCTCAGAAAAAAACCCAATTCCCATGATTCCCTAGCTGCACTAACCCTAACCCTTAAAGTGGACTCAATTTTCACTATTTCTGGCAGTCTGCAACCCCCCTAATTTTGGGAATATCCCACAAGAGTGGGATTGTTTTCAGACATTATGTGATGTCGCCATTATATCCCGGACTTAACTCATAAATTAAAGTGCGCCATTTGGCCGCTTTTGGCCACTTTTCAGTTTCGGGAAAATCCCCAAAGTAAAAAACAGCCACTTTATTCACAGGTTAGGTTTGGGATAATGGCGACGTCATGCGTCATCTGAAAACAATCCCGCTCTTGCAGGATATTCCCAGGATTTAAATCCTGTTTATCCACGGGATTTGGGTGCTTTGCCTCCTGTGTGATAAACTCCATAGTTGGAAACAACCTGAAGGCACCCTGTGGATGAGACATCTCAACGATTCCCTTATCTTCCATTAATATTTTGTTCTTGCAGATCCATACCCATGGCCTCCTTAAGGGAGTCCATCCATCTATCATGTGGTCTTCCTCTTTCTCCTTCCATCTTTCCTAACATTATGGTCTTTTCTAATGAACTGTGTCTTCTCACGAAGTGACCAAAGCATAATAGCTTCCATGTAATCATCTTGGCTTCCAGGGAGATCTTAGGTCAAGGGTAGGCAACCTAAGGCCCGAGGGCCAGATGCGGCCCCCAAAGGCCTTTGGACCGGCCCCAGACCAATCCTGCTTCTGCCGCCGCCGCCTACCATGATGATATTGATTATTGTTGTTATTACTTGTTCTTGGGGTTTTCTTGGCAAAATCGCCACAGGGGGTTTGCCATGACTTTTCTGGGGCTGAGAGTGTGCATGCATATTTTTTTAATTTTTGGTGCTTCGGCCCCCCAATTTTCTGAGGGACAGCAACCCGGCCCCTGGCTCAAAAAGGTTGCCTACTCCTGTCTTAGGTCCTCCACTCTGCTCTAGGACTCATTTATTTGTTTTTTTCTGGCTGGCATTTCATGTTTAGATTTGGATCCCATGTCCAAGATATTGTATATATACCAATATTCCAAAACCCAAAACATTTCTGGTCCCAAGCATTTTGGATCGGGGGAGACAACCTGTACCATATTGGCTCTCAGAGGCTATATTGTCACAATAACTTCATTAGGCCCCTCCCAAAAGAATGCATAAGATTTGCACGAAAAGGTTGGCACTAGCTTTCAGAATCAGCATTCTTACATTAGGAAAAATGTTTTAAAGAAAGTATTGCTGGATGTCCATTCTTGCATTCAAAAGATTCATAAATGAAAGCTTTTAAAAAACCAATTAAGTCATCTTTTAAACTGAATTTTTATTCTTTTAATGAATGATGTGTTTTTATATTATATTAGTTTAATTCTATTTTAATGCCCTTCTTTGTATGTTGTATTCTTTTTTAGTTTGTAAGCCGCTTTGTGTTCCAATTGTGGGGAGAAAGTGAGATATAAAGATAATGATAATAATAATAAAGATAAAGGAGGTAGTCCTTTATCTTTATTATTATATTATTATACAGAGCTGGAAATACACTTACACATATCAGCATCCTAATAATTTTTCCTGACCACTACTGGAAAATACTTGAATTAAACAGAAAATTCCCTAAAACATTTACCAAAGCTGTCTTAATGGACCCTCCCATGTCAAACCTCATGAGTCCCTTCCTGCTTCTGCTGGAGTAGAATGGGACCGCAGGAGGCCATATAAACAGATTTGTAGTAATTCGCAGAAGGCATTAAAACAAGAGAGTTGCATTGGTTCACTGATTAAATAGCATGTGTCCATTTGTCTCCACTGGGTGTCCTAAGGCTAGGATTGGATGTCCCATTTGCATACAACTATTACTTTTAAAACACCTTAATTTTTAAAAATAAATTTTATTGAAGGTTTTAAAAATACAATATAAATTACAGACATTATAACAACCAACTTACAGCAACCCTACGGTGAACCTTTCACAGGGTTTTCTTAGCAAGATTTGTTCAGAGGTTTGTTTTTTTGCCAGGGCAAACATCTGAGGTTGAGAGAATGTGACTCAGTCAAGATCACCCAGTCATCTTTCCTGACATTATGGTCTTTTCTAATGAAGTGTGTCTTCTCATGAAGTGACCAAAGCATAATAGTTTCCATGGCCAAGGAGAGATTCAAACACTGCTCTCCAGAGTCATAGTCCAACACTCAAACCACTACACCACGCAGCCTTAGCCTTCACCTTCCTAGGATCCAGGCCCAGGAGGATACCAGATACGTACTTCCTGAACCTGAAGAAGCAGACCAAGTCTGCACAAAAGATTATGGTACAACTTCTTTCGCACAGTTAGTCTCAAAGGTGCTACAAGATTTCTTTACCTACATATGTGCACACAAGCACACTCTCTCTAACTACCTGCCTGATCACTGCAAGGATATTTTCACTTCTTCACCAAAAATTACTGGTCATCAGAATTTATTCTTTATTAACATATTTCCAGCATAAATTAATTAAATTTATAGCAACAATTCACCTTCTAGAAACAGAGGGCACAGGTCTCAATGCAAGATTGGAGGATGAGAGATGCTTGTGTTTCAAAGCAAGAATAGAGGATGTGTAGAAACAGATTATTCAATGTACTTGACATTACATTTCATAACTTCTTGGCCTTGCCTTCTGGTTCTACTAGATTTAAGCTGCGTCTACACTGCAGAAAGAATTCAGTTTGACACCACTTTGACTGCCATGGCTCAATACTATGGGATTTTGGGAATGTAGTTTGTTGGATTTTTCTTTCCATGAAATCCTGGAGGTCCAAGCAGGGCTCAGGAAAGGAAGAGACACCAGAGATCACATAACAAATATACGATGGCTAATGGAGCATAGCAGGGAGTTCCAAAAGAAAATCAGCATTTATTTTATAGACTATAGCAAAGCTTTTGACTGCATAGATCATGAAAGGCTATGGAATACCTTTAAAGACATGGGAGTGCCAGCACATATGATAGTTCTGATGAAGAATCTGTACTCCGGACAAGAGGCTACTGTAAGAACAGAAAACAGAGAAACAGAATGGCTCCCAGTTGGCAAAAGAGTCAGACAAGGATGCTTCCTTTCACCCTGTATGCAGAACATATTATAAGGAAAGCAGGCTTGGACAC